GAGAAGACTTAACACTGCTGGGTGTGGCCCCCAACAAAAACAAATAGTGGTCATACTATTTAAGATTTTTAAATGTTCTCCTCTTATGGAATTTTCTAGTGCTATGGATATTTCCGGCTGTGCCCAAAGGAAAGTGAATAATCCGTAGAGAGTCCACAAACAGAATTGCTTTCCTTGCTTTATAGCCCTGCAGTCTTAGAGAAAGGAATTTTCAGTTGTCAGAGACCTTATTTATTACACGAGTAGCTCCTGGGTTGACTTCAGCCTTGCAGTCTGGGCAATTTTCTAGCAAAAGTGACTTCTGTGGTCAACTGGTAAAATTTCTATCAACTATAATAACTTTTGAGAACCAGTGGGGGTTTTGAAGATGGTACCAGAGCCTTGCATATCCCTGGCATGGCATATGGTCCCCTCTAGTACCATCAGGGAGCACAGAGCCAGGAACAGTCCCTGAGTACCAGAGGGTAGGATCTGCAAACCCCAAATAAAAAGAAATGAAAGAAGCAGTGGGTTGGAGAGATAGCTCAACAGGCTGAGCACATTCTTGGCATGCAGGAAGCAGGTTTCAGTTCCAGCTCAGCACTGCATTGCCAGGAATGACTCCAAGTACTAAGTGGGTATAATCCCTGAGCACCTTTGAGAATGGCCTCAAAACAGAGAGGCAAAAGGAACCAAACTTAATGTCTGCATTGACAAGGAAAATGCTCTTATTTTATGCGTTAGAAATAAAATTATTGGATGTATAAAGGAAATACACACCCACTATCACTGTGTACTACCTTCATAGAGAGAACATTTTAGCCAATAAGTTTGAATTGATCCTTGTTAACTTTATTTCAGAAAGTGGTAACGTAGCCGTGGAATATCGGCCTTTTGAGGAGCTCACTGATGCCAGAACCGAAGAGCTTCATGATTTAGTTCAAGTACATGAAAGAAAAACTCAAGGATGACATATACACAATGGTAGCAATTCAAAATAATGAGCAGATTTTAGAAGTGTTTAGCATGTGTAGGCAATTCTACCATCCCCAGAAAAATATGAAACTCTCAAGCTTTAGTTCAGAGAATTTCTGAAGTTTCCCTGAAGTCCTAGCCATTGGTTCTAAAGCCTTCTTTGAAATTTGGAGAGTTCTGAGTGCCCTCTGAGTTCTGTCAGAGAAATACCTTTTTGAACTCCTCTTAAACAGGATCTAGGGATTTGGGACCTTAAGTACGATTATGTTACAGCATTTGAAAAGTTACATTTTTTTTCAAGTATGATGTCATATCTAGAGCTCAGCATCTCATATATATCTTGTATGAAATATTTATATGAAATATGAAATATCTTTCTGTTAAGCCGATTGGTTAGGTTTGGTTTTTTTGGTGTTCCTTGAACAGGTCTCGGTAAAATTTATTCTGCCATTTCCAAAGCCTCCTGTTTTCATCTTGCTCTCTATAAGGCATGAATATATTGGTTTCTCATCATCCTGCTGGTGTTTGCATGTAGTGTTTGCTGATTTTTCTCTTTTTTTGATGGTTACCTTGTTCTTAAGAACCAAGAGATAAATTGATTATTTTTAAGATTTGCGGAGCAGAATGAAAACATGAATAATACTTTTAAGTTCCACAAACCATAAAAACTTGGGTTTGTTTCCTGTTCCCATTGATTTTGTTTTTTCCTACCATGATCCTTGTAATGAAATGGAGTGTGCCTTTTCTTGTTAAAAAAGAAAAGCTCATTTGAGTATGTTTTGTGTAATTTCTGAGTTGATAAATTGGACCTTCTTCAAAAAAGATCCTTAAAGTCAATGTCTTGCTATATCTGAAGAAGAAATATAAACTCTGTTTTCAAATTATTATGGGTGATAAATCCAAGACAGGCCCTTTTATAAATCAGATGTAAAATTTTAAAATGAGGTTTATAAAAATGGGCCACATTATAAACTTTTCCTGTTTTGGATCTCAGTGACAATATTTTGCACTTAAATACCTCTTATCTGAATTTTACAGGTTAAAAGGTAAGTAGCAGGAAGATAGTGTTTGGGAAGCATTCAGAAGTAAGCTTTTCTCTCCATTGTTCTGCATTTCTGGATTTTGATGCAATGCAGTATGAATTGTTTGCTTTCTTCAAGCTACATCCCTGCTCGACTACAGAATGGTGCTAACGAGTTAAATGAATGAATCAACTTGAAGGCTGATATGTGGATCCACAGTTCTGATTGGAATGTGGTTTAAACAGAAATTGTGTTGTTTTGTTCACACATTATTTACTTCTGCTTACCATTAGGTCTGCCACTAAAATCCATGGCTTAGATTTGAGTTCGTTGGTTTGATCTGAAGATGTATTGGTATGAAACTTTGTAGGTGCTAACCTCAGTTCTAGTAGTTTGTCTGGAGGAGCCCTTCCACCTCCATGGATGTAGTTCCCTTACTTTGGAAGTATAAAATTTGATATAAGCTGGTTTCCTAAGCCTGGGACTGGGGGAATGGCATTGCTGGTTCAGCACCTGGGAAGGATCTGACTCAGCATCAAAAACAAGGTTGGAGAAAGAGAGTACAGGGCGGAAGGTGCTGCTAAGGTGCTTGCCTTGCATACAACCGATCCTGGTTTGATTCCTGGCACCACACATATACCCCCTAGCGCTCCCAACAGTGATTCCTGAGCACTGATGTATATAACCAGAACCTTCCCCCTATAGTAAATAATAAGCATCAAAAACCCAATTTGAGTGGCATTTCTGACCTTTCGCTTTGAGTTTTTCCATCCAAACAAATGATCTTATCCTGTTAGTCCCTAAAATTCTGTTCCTGGGCTGGAGCGATAGCACAGCGGTAAGGCGTTTGCCTTGCATGCAGCCAACATGGCAACCCGAGTTCGATTCCTCCGCCCCTCTCGGAGAGCCCGGCAAGCTACCGAGAGTATCTCGCCCGCACGGCAGAGCCTGGCAAGCTACCCATGACGTATTCAATATGCCAAACACAGTAACAACAAAAGTCTCCAATGGAGACGTTACTGGGCCCGCTCGAGCAAATCGATGAACAACAGGAGGACAGTGATCAGTGATCAGTGATGAAATATTTTATGAAAGAACCTTTCTGTTCAACAATTGCATAGTATTCCAAATTAGGAATTAACTTGTTAATTTCCAGGAGAACATATGAATACACTATGTGTGTATTCTAGGGATGCTGGGGGGTGGCAAAATGTGTTTAATATCATTGGGAACAAATTTGGAGTTGGATATATGTAATTAACATGGCTCAAAGTCAGAAAATTTATTTCCAAAGTTAGGGAGTTAGGGGAAGATAAAAAGAGAAAAGGTGATTCTGTTCCTCTTGTTGAAAATCTGTTTTTTTCCTTTGTAAAATAAATTTTATTTGTGGGTAAGGTAGCGGGATTCACACTTGGTGGCGCTCAGGAATTACCCAGCCTGGCTCGTTGTTATAATCACTTGTGGAAGTGCTCGAGGGACCAGGTGATGGTAGGGATCAAATTCAAACCTTTCTTGTGCAAAGCATGCGCTCAATCTTTTGAACTATTGATCTAGTCCTGCAAAGAAATTTTTTAAATAGTTTAAATCAAACCCACCAAGAAAACTTCCAACACCTACAATTGGGTCTTAAAAGACTTAGCTTAGGAGCCTGAGACATAGTTCATCAGGCTGGAGCATGGACTGTGATGAGGGAGACCTGGGTTTGATACCTGCCACTGCATGGCCTCCTGAGCACTGTCAGGTACAGCGTCAAACACCTCCAGGTGTGGCCCCCAAAGAGACAACAATGTCCACCTTACTAAGAAAGGTGAGAAGACATTTCGTACTAATGCCAAAGAATTCAGAAAACGAACATCCATCCCTAAATGAGGCTACTCTTGGAACCAACTCCATTCGGGGCTCTCTACTCAACTAGAGAGTGGGAAGAAGCCCCTTCTCATGGAATTTATATTCTGGAAGTGTGAGATAATAAGAACTGATATGGATGAGAAGAAGGACTGTGAAGAAAGTAAAATGGGTACTAGTTACAGTATTGCAAGAGAGCCTTGTCACTTTCTGACGTGAACATCTTAAGTGTTCCCTCCGAGTGCTAGAAGGGCAGCCCTCTAGAAAGGAGCTTGCTCCTTTTTCTCCGTGAATTTATGTTGAGTTCCATGCAAGAAAGGGGGATTTCCCCAGGCCGGTGTAAAGGAGCGCATATGGCTGTTCATTCAGTTTAAGAACGGTCTTCCAGAATCAACTGTTTCTGGCCCCAGAGCCCTGCTTCAGAAAATGTTGTGTCCCTGATTCCGTGCTATCCCCTCTCTAGGAGAGTGATAAATAATCAGAGAGACTAAGAGCTTAAAGGAAATGACAACATTTGTGAACCCCCACCCACCCGAAGTAGTGCTCCTTTTGCAGGTCAACTGCCTTTCTTGGAAGCAGGATGGCCAAGGGGAGGAAGAATGTCTCTTGGATTTCAGTAGTGAGGAGGAAGCACCAAGACCACCACAGCTGGATTAGTGCTGTTGAATTCACCAGTGTTCCCTGTCTGGGGACAAGCTGTTCCTCCCCTACCCTCGGGGCTCCGCCCAGTCCCAGTCCTGTTGGGTGGCAAGAGTGGGAGGGGAGGCAAGGGGGGTGGGGTAGAGGACCTGATTGGATGTGTTTGGTGCCTTGGGGGAAGAAGGAAAGCCTGGGTCTTGCTGGCTTTAGATCCAATAAAGGTTGCTTAAAGGCTCATAAAGGTGCTGAGGGGGTGGGGCCCCCGGTTGTCAAGGGCCTGTGGTTGTCAAGGGCGTGGTTGATAAGGGCATGCAGGGGCAGTGCCCAGCTGCCTTAATCCTCAGGCTCAGGAAGACTACACTTCCTTAGCCATGAATGTGGGATTAAACATATTTATAATTCTTTACCTCTCCACCCATCTGCAGGGCGCTCCTCTCCGGGGGAGAGTCCTACCCCCAGTCCCCCTGGCCCCCAGCCCCCCAGGGCTCCCCAATCCCTGGCTTTCATCTTCCCCTGATCCTGCCGCTGAATCACCCCCTACCCTTCAGCCCCGGATTTCAAAACTCCCCGCCTTCCTTTTGGATCAAATTGGCGGGCACCATGTTGCTGAAATTGTTCCAACTCGCAGGAAATCTAGGAGACCTCGTCGTCGACCACAACCAATGCAGGAGGATTACTTCGATTCCAGTATGGATACCTTTTATCCTGAGGGGAGTCAACCTTTGGTGGGAGATTCAGAGAAACATCCACAGATTCGTCACGAGACTGGATCCTTTTCACCCCAGCCTCAGCATCCAGAAACCTTTGAAGAGCTAGAACAGCTTCCCTTTAAGGCCCTGGAAGCTGAACTTTCAGCAAGCACACAACAGAGCCCAGCTGCACTTCTAGGATCTCCCGAGGAATCAAAACCTCTGGTAGTTTCAGACTCAGATTTGCTGTCAAGTACCCCTGAAAAGGGTGATACTGCTTCAGTCCTGCCAGAAACCCTAGTTCAGCCTACATTGGCTTCCGAGGAGAGAGGATCTTCAGTGCCTCAGGAGGTGGAAGCTCAGCCTTTAGAGTCAGGTCAGAGTTTGAAGAAAGTTGAGCCCATATCATCTTTGGTCCATGAGGTGTCAACGTGGCCTCGAGAGCCATGGCCTCGAGAGCTTGTAGGTAAACCATCAGACCATCCTGAATATGTGTCATCACCAAGTAAGAATGAAGCTCAACCCTTCAATGTTCCAAGTGCGAGGGAAACACTTGCAGACATGACAATTGACATGTTTGCAGAGGTCAGTAATGAGCGTCAGCCTTCTCCCGAGCAGCAGGAGGTCTCAGCTCAGACTCCAAATGAAGCAACTCCACAACCAGAAACATCGACAACATATCATTCTTCTCTGACACACTCTTCTGCCCTTCCTGCTGTACGACATGCTTCAGAAAAGGCACACGTAGATTTCCCTGAGCAACTGGAACAGAATGTCTCCATGACCTTTAACATATGTGAGCTCTGTACCTGCACAGATAAGACCCTCTCCTGCTCCGGTCTCAGTCCAGAGAAGAGGCTCCATAGAGTGCCTGTGCCAGGGCCCAACACCAACACCTTCACCGTCCTGTAAGAATCCCCTTTCCTCTGTTCTCTGCATTCTGCCTATTGACATAGCAAGCCTTTTCTTCAATGTCTCCCTGTGTCTGCCTCATCCCCCTGCCCACGTTAAATGATTTCCATTTTTTATCTTTTGTTAGTCAAAAGATATCCTCATTCTCCTTATCTGTTGCTGCTGCTTCTCTAGTCTTTTGGTTATAAACGTCCGTACCCTTTTTCCTTCTCTATTTTTATCTCACCATCAGCCTGTCCTTCATCCCATCATCCACTCATTTAATTCCTTAACCTTTGTTTTCTTTGTGCTACAGCCTTTTTTTAAAAAAAAATAGTTTGTCCTCCTTATCTTTTATTGCTGGTGCCACAATCTTGTGCTTATGGACATGAATTCTGGAGCCAGATTGCCCGAGTTTGCATTTGTTAGCTTTGTTACCTTGGACAAGTTATTTAGCTCTGTGACTCAGTTCCCTTTTCTTGAGGTGGGGGTAATGGTAAGTTATCACCTCCTAATATTGTTGTGATACTTGTTGATTTTGATACTTATGAAGTTAGTACCTTGAAACAAGTTTAACATGAATCCCTATAGAGATGAGGCCAAGGTGGTGGAGAAGGGTTGACTGTGAGATCTAACCAGCTCCAATTGCAACAAAAGTAATACTATGAAATCTATGTAAATACTTTGGGCCAGAGTGATAGTACAGTAGGTAGGGCATTTGCCTTGCACGTGTTCCACCTAGTTCTGATCCCCGGCATCCCATATGGTCCCCTGAGCACCACTATCAGTGATTCCTGAGTGCAGAGCCTGGAGTCACACCTGAGTATTGCCGGGTGTGGCCTCCCCGTGAAACTATATACTTACATCAGGCAACTAGCATACACATGAATGCTGTCTGTATTCATTAATCTCTCATTTCAGAATTACAGTTGTTTACATCGACTTTCCATATAAAGCACCCATTTCCCTCAACCTAGCCACAACAATATGTCATCGGCTCTTAAACATGATGGTATTGGGGAGAAAGGGAATACACAAAAAGGAAAGGCAGCGTGTCACCAAGCACCAACAGAGGCACAGAAATGTACAGAATCTTGTCAGTTGGGGAAAGCTGCAGAGAGCTGACACAGAGCAACTTTAGCTGGGAATTAGAGGTTGATTTTTTTGGATCAAAAATTATTTATGTGCTGGGCATATAAAAAGCTGTGCATGTTTGGTATGATTTTTGTGTTTGGAGATATGTAATATGCTTGTAATATGAAACAGTTACGAATCTGTGCCTCCTTAAACATATCCCTCAACTTGTGGCTTAGACATCATAAAGCATCCAGAAGTCTTGAGTGGAAATGTTCACTAGGTTGGTGGGATAGGTTTCTGTTTCAACATTTTCACCCTGAAAACTGTGTATGTAAACTGATTAGGTTTATATTTGGATTATGTACACATTTGCAGCTTATATACACATGTTGCTGAGGGAAGTTGACAAAACTAGATTCAAAGTGATCCACAGAGTTAGTGTTTAAAACTGAACTCAGGGAGCCAGAGTCCTAGGACAGTGGGTAGGGCTCTTGCCTTGCATGTGGCCAACCCAGGTTCAATCCCGGACACCTCATAGGGTCCCCCTCCATCACTGCCAGCAGTTCAATGAAAAATTATTGACCCTGAGCGTGGAGCCAGGGGCAAGTCCTGAGCACCATCCCCCCCTCCACCAACTTCATGCGTCTATACATGTGTAAATTCATGAACATATTCTCTTTGTTACAATAGGTCAGTAAAGTAAACAGGATAAGGTGCAAAAATCCCACTTTCCCACTCTACCAGCTATTTGACTGCCGCGTGGTAACTTCTGTTACCATCTTGGGTTTCCTTCTACTCTCTTTCCTGTGCATTCCTCGCCACCCCCAATGAAGGTAGTTCTTTGTGATTTGTTCTTTTCCTGAGGCACGTTGAATATATCTCTCCTCACTAGTCCCCCCTCACTTTCTAATTTCCGTAGTCTCTATCTAGAAATTTCTACTATCTTGAAATTTCAACAGAGAGCATTGACTTAAACCTTTGGTGTTCCCTGGCAATGCTTTAAAATATTTATTTGCTGATAATTTTGTTCATTTTTCTTTATATGATAATTATGAAATTATAATTTTCTCCATTGATTTGCAGTAGGAGTTACAATAGGTGTGAGTTTAGAAAAATGGCTTACAGGCTAATTAGCTGGCAGTATTTATCTACTCCAGGAATTAGGAAGTTCAGATTGTGAGATATTTCATTGTTTGACCAGTCACCCCACATCATGTCTTTAGTTGGGCATAATGGGAAACTCATAGCTATGGAGATAAGCTGGAGTATTCTGTGTTTCCATGATTCTTTTACTTATTCTGTTCATTCTTTTCCTACCTGTTCAAATCTGTGAACTGTGTTTCTTCACAGAGATTTCCAAGGAAACTCTATTTCTTCCATTGATGGAAATACATGGAAGGCATACCCATGGGTTGAGAAACTGTGAGTATATTCTCTCCAAATATGAATATTAAAAAATAATTGCACCATAAAATCCTCCGTAGTATACAATTTTAAGATCAACACCACATAGAAGCTATTTCGCCCTCATGTCCCAAAACAACCTCTCTTAGTTATAATAGTTTACTTCTTTAAAAAATTTTGGTTTACCAAGCTCTTACGTTAAAAGTCTTTTTGTTTTCCATTCCATAACTGGTAGAGTTAATTGTATACACACACGCACATATACATATAGGTATATATTTTGGTGATGTAGATGGTTTTTATTGAACTTATTTTAGAAAGATGTGAGAGGAGAAAAAGAGAAGTTCTAGAGAGAGCACACAGAGATGAGCAAACAGGAAATGTGTTCACAGGAGAACCTTGGCTTGAGTAGCAAGCCAACATGATTACTTTCTTTCTTTCTTCCTTTCTTTCTTTCTTTCTTTCTTTCTTTCTTTCTTTCTTTTTTATGTAGGAGTACTGCTATTTATTTAGCCACTGATTAGAACTCCATCTTACTTTTTTTCATTTTTTATAATTTTATTTATTGAATCACCATGAGAGCAGTTACAAAGCTTTCAGGTCTAAGTCTCTGTCATACAATGAAACACACTTGTACCTTCACCAGTGCCCATTCTCCATCACAAAAAACCCCAGTATACCCCCCTCCCATACCCTCCCCCTACCTGTGGGGCAGATGATTTCCACATTACTCTCTCTCTACTTTGATCACATTCAATATTTCAACACCAGACACACCATTATTATTTGAGATTTTACCCCAACACTCAGATCTGTTGAAAAGGCAGCAGTAGACAATTTGTGTTCTATTGCTGGTTATGAATAACATATGATGTTGCGTGGCTGTAGTAGGGTCATGTGATTTTGCAATTTCAAAATTTTAACACTTAAATCTGGAGGGATTTCTGCCAAAAGCCACCGGGTTTTGAGATTTGCTCCTGGGTCTCTGGGATCATGGCCGTTGAGCAGCTTGATCAGGAGCCAGAGAGGCCGTTCTTGGGTGATGACTTGGGGTCTCATTGGGACGGGGAGACTAGGACCCGCTCCACCCCCATCCTGTGAGGCCCAACAAGTTTTGTCGCTGCAGGCCCAGACCTGACTGTCTAATGGCCTCTGGAGGATGATGGCCACTGAGCTGCCAAGGGGGCGCAGGCGGAGGGACAACACCCTTTCCCCCCTGGGGTGGCCCGGCGACAGTAACCTACTGCGGAGTCTGGACGCATTTCTGCCAAAAGCCACTAAGTTTTGAGATTTGTTTCTGAGTCTCTGGGATCAAGGCTGTTAAGCAGCTTGATCAGGAGCCAGAGAGGCCGTTCGTGGGCGATGACTTGGGGTCTCGTTGGGGTGGGGAGGACAGACCGGCTCCACCCCCATTCTGTGAGGCCCTGCATGTCTCGTCACTGCGGGCCCAAACCTGACTGTCCAGTGGCCTCTGAACGATGGTCGCCACTGGGCCAACAGGGGGAACAGGCCAAGGCACGAAACCTATTCCCACCTGGGTTAGCCCAGCACTGGTAACCTACTGCAGGGACCAGACGCATTTCTGCCAAAAGCTGCTGGGTTTCAAGATTTGCTTCTGAATCTCTGGGATCATGGCCATTAAGCAGTTCAATCAGAAACCAGAGAGGCCATGCCTCCAATTATATAGCTGAGTCGGAGGTGGTTTGTAGGTATGTGGGAAACATACCTAACTTTTGTCAGTTTACTTTCTTGGTAAACTTTGCCCCAAGTTTTTGGGGTCTGGCCAAAGGCACAGCAGCAATTTTGGGGTATCTGGAAGTCTGAAGGTGCCATCAGGCTGCTGATGCTCTCGACTCACAGGTACATGATTACATTCTTCATTAAAAATTTTTAAATGATCCATAATGCGAAAGTAAATCTTCTGATTTGTTTTTTCTATAAATATAACAGCTACCACTTGATACTTTCACTTTATTTTGCTTTAGACTTCTTTCCTTTATGGTGCATAGAGGTTTACCCCATCTATTTAAAATCCTGTTTCATAATAATTCTATTGAAAGATGCTTTGATTTTTTTTGGTCACATGTATTACCGCAGCACAGGGCCTTGTGAATATGGGCAGATAGGTCTGTTAATTAGATATTTAGAGATGGATTTGTTGGGCTGAAGAGTATATAGTTATAAAAATTTAATTGACCTCAAAATAGTTGTGCCAGTTCATGAAAGTATTGTTTCTCCATGCCCATCCACCTCTGGGCATTCTTTATTTTGGGGCTGCCCTGATGAATCAATAAAAGGGATCCCATCCATATTTTAATTTTATGGTTAGTACAATGGGTAGGGCGTTTGCCTTGCATGGGGCCAACCTGGTCAACCGAGTTTGATTCCTCCGCCCCTCTCAGAGAGCCTGGCAAGCTACAGTGAGTATCTCGCCCACACGGCAAAACCTTGCAAGCTACCCGTGATGTATTCGGTATGCCAAACACAGTAACAAATCTCACAATGTTACTGGTCCTGCTTGAGCAAATCGATGAACAGTGGGAGGACAGTGACAGTGCTATTAAATAACACATATTGACATACCTAATAGCCACCTGTATGTCTAACAACTAACTTCAAATTTGTGATGAAGAACCAAAAGATTGAGATGTCTATAACAAACGCGATGTGAAAAATATCTGTGGTTTGTATTAGAGGCCAAATGAACAATTTGCTAATCTGTCATTGTCAGTTGACATTCCTAATATGAGAAATGACCGTTTTAGGGCCAGAGCGGTAGTACTGTGGGTAGGGTTTTTGCTTTGCATATGGCCTACCAGGATTCAATCCCCACCACCCCATAGGGCCCTCCAGCCCTGCCAGGAGTGATCCCTGAGCACAGAGCCAGGAATAAGCCATGAGCACAGCCAGGCGTGATCTAAAACCAAAACCAAAGGCTGTTTCAGTGCGTTGGAAATAATTGTATTTTCATCCAGGCTATGACCTCAGACCTAGAGAGAAAGTCTACAAATGGAAATCGCTTGCATACTTTTCTAAACATTAAAAAAAGTAGAATTTTTTTTTAAATAATTTTGCTCTGGTGCCACACAGTGGTGCGCAGGGGTTATCCTTAGTTCTGAAAGGTGAAATTTTTCTAAACAAAAGGGGACATTGGAGCAGGGAATCTAAACCATAATTGGCAGCAATTATCGGTTTCCAACATGGGAGTCCTCAACAGACTATACAAACTTTCCAGTTCTGGGGCCTGGGCTGGGGGCAAACCGTGTGGAGACTCCCTTTTACATTTGATCCTTATAAGGTAAAGGAGGGAAGAGAAGCCGAATTTCAAGTCTTTGTTTGAAAATCTTGGATAGCTTTCCTGCCCTCTGGTCCTGCCTTCCAAGGCAACCCAATTCCATGGACCAGTATCAAATTCTCTGCCTCTGGAAAGGCTTTAAGCTTTGCAGACTGCTGACCTGAGTTTGAGCACCCCATATGGTCCCTTGAGCACCACCAGGAATGATCCCTGAGCGAAGAGCCAGGAGTAACCACTGAGCACTTCTGGGTGTGGCCCCACAACAAAACAAAGCACCGAAGAAACCCCCCAAATAATGTTCGTTCAAGTCAGGGGTGTGTGTCAGAGGAGGGTGTGATTGGTAGGGGCACGCTTGGGGCCTCTGGGAAGCTGGGTTCCTTGTCAGGAACGTGTCTTGGGGCCTTCGCTTTATTGGCCTGCTCTTTTTTGTTGGGGGGGGGGGGGTGCACAGCTACTGGTTATGGGCTGACTCCTGGCAGACGTGGGGGATCTATGGGGTGCCGGGTCCGACCCAGGTAAGCCACGTGCAAGGCAAAAACCCTCCCCACTGTACTATTGCTCTGGGCCCAAATGTCATGTGCACTTTGTGCACGTTTTCCTTCCCAGAACAAAACAATTTAATGGTGTTAAGTTTCTTAGGGCTTCCTTTCCAGACTTAATTTCATTCTTCATGGGGGACTCAGAGTAATGTTTGGGAAGAGAGCAGGGAGTGGCAGCCCTGTGTTTCTGGTGTCACACAGAATTTGGATCTGACAGATTTTGTGACCTAGAGAATATGCTTTATATAGGTTACTTGGTGAGAAGAGTCAATAGCTGTGTTCGTGTTCATGATGCATCTAGGTGAGGACAAAATAAAGAGTTTAAACAGAGGCCACTATCCCTAAGTTAAATAAGAATTGGGATATTTAGATAGCACCATTATTATGTGTAAGAATAGTCCTGTGCACAGCTGCACACGCTAGGGGAAAAGGCAGCTCAGCTAGAGAAGGGAGCACCAAATAAAGGGCGTCGGGTGGTTCTTCTCAGGATGGGAAATGCATGATGAGAGTAGACTATAGACCGAACAAGATTGCCACTCAATGTCTCTTTTGCAAACCACAGCACTCAAAAGGAGAGAGATAAGAAAAGGGATGCCCTGCCACAGAGGTAGGGTGGGATGGGAGGATGGGGGGTGGGAGGGATACTGGGACTGGTTGTGGTGGAGAATGGGCACTGGTGGAGGGATGGGTATTCAATCATTGTATAACTGAAACCCAAGCACAGAAATTTGTAAGTCTACAGCTGTACCTCATGGTGTTTCACTAATAAAAATTTAAGAAAAAAAAATAGTCCTATGTAATAAATAGTCATAGTTATTTTGCATTTTAGACCAGAAATAATTTTTCCATTTTTCAGAATACTCAGTGACAATTCTTTGGCAGAATTACGTAAGGATTCATTTGAAGCCCTTCCAAACCTCAAGTACTTGTAAGTTAATCATTTATTTATGAATTTTTAGCTCTGTTTTTAAAACAAGGGGGTGTGCAAGTTAATCTTCATCCTTTTTTCCAGCAATAAAATTTTGTAGTTTTGTAAGTATGGCATTAAAAACCTCTCATGTCATTTCTGACACTAAATTACATTTGCATATATATATATATGATGTCGGTGGGCCCCACGGATGACTTATGTGAAGCGGGGTCTCGCAGAAAGGAATTTCAGGAGTAGACAAGCAGTGAGTGAAGTTAATGGATTTTATTTGTAGGATTTTTAGGTGCGGAGGGGGAGAGAGAGAGAGAGAAAGCGAGAGAGAGAGTAAAGTTAGACACGAAAGAATGAAAGTACACATCTGAAGAGGGGAGATGCGGGCCACACATGTGCTCAGACACCACATGTGCTCGGCCACGTGGGCGCAAGCAGCACATGGGCTCAGGCAGCATATGTGCGCCCTTCCTTTGTTCAAGGTGGCCTTTATAGGGTTGCTCCAGCCTGTCCCCACGTGAGGCCTCTTTCCAGGTAAAAGTCCGTTGCTAAGGAGGTTACCAGGGAGGTCCAAAAAGAGGAATTCCGTGGGGAGGCCTATATCCTGAGGGTCTGGTCTTATCAGGCCTTTGTTTTCTGTGTCCACAAGGTGGGTCATTCCTAGAATTCTTCTTCCATGAAACTTTGTTTCATTGCAAAGGGCCTTTCCCTATCTACCTGCCTACATCATATATATATATATGGACATATATGAAAAAAAAAACTTTAGGCTTACTCTTCAAGCCCATGTTCTCCCTGGATCATGTAATTTGCTTACTTGTCCTCATGTCTCTTTGTCTGCTTTTTCTGCTCTGAGAAGCCGTGTTATCTCATGAACACATTCTTTCTCTTTCCCACCTCCCCACATCTTTCTAAGAAAGTTTCTTTCGATGTAAACTATCTTGCTTCACAAAAGTGTTTTTCAAACTTTACTAATAGATGAAAAGTACTTATATCTGCTCCACCCATAGAAACCTAAGTGCTAATATACCATCTCCTCCGTGTTCATATAGAGTTCCTTTATGGATCAAATCCAATGCATGGTCCAGTTTTACCTGGCCCATTAATTTAAGAATTGTTTTTGTCAGCTGAGGAGATTGCACAAATGATGAGTGTGATGCTTTGCAACAGGAGGCCCGGGTTGGATTTCCAGCAGGACACAGTTCTGGGCTCCCCAGTCCCTGACTCCCAGTAATATCCCTGAAGTAGACCCTGAGCACTACTAAATAAAAACAAAAATCTATGCAAATACGTTCGTTTTTATTTTTTAATATTTAATTATTATTTATTGCTTTTTGGATCACACTCAGCGATACTCAGGGGGTACTCCTGGCTCTGCACTCAGGAATTACTCCTGGCAATGCTGGGGGGACCATATGAGATGCTGGGGATCAAACCCGGGTCAGCTGCGTGCAGTGCAAGGCCAACGCCCCACTATCTCTCCTGCCCATGTTTTATTTATTTTTTAATTTTGTGTATGAAGCAAGGTAGTTTTTATTTAAACTTATTTAGAAAGATGTGACGGAGAGAAAGTAAGAAGTCTGTGTTCGAGAGAGAACACAGGCTCTCCAGAGTGGAAAAAAGCAAGCAAAGAAACAGAAAGAAACAAGTGAGATATTTAGGGCATGAAGAGCAAGCCAGGTGCTTTTATTCAATCCTTCCAAAAGGGTGGTTTTTTCCTGGAATTTTGCATACTTAAACTTCATCTGGGTGTTTTCACAGGAATGCCTTACGCTGTTGATATTCTCTTTGTTATCTCATGGATTCTTGTGTAACTTCTTCTCTGAGGGGGACCAGCCTTTTCTGGGTGGGACCTTGGAATTTTGCATCCTGGTGATATCTCAGTTTCTCTTCAAAGAGCTCAGAATTTGTATGTCAAATGATGTGATTGTCGAGCTCTTGGGATGCATGCAAGGCAAAGGTCCCACCAGCTGTACTATTGCTTCAGCCCATGGTTTTATTGATTTTGTTTTTTAATTTTGTGTGTGAAGCAAGGTAGCTTTTATTAAAACTTACTTAGAAAGATGTGAGGATTTGTATTTCAAATGATGTGATGGACAAGCTCTTGGGCTACTTTGGGGCTAGAGAATTTCTTCTTTAGTTTTATTATTCCCCCAAAGAACTTTCCAGGGCCCCTCACCCTGCCAGCTTGCACCAGCAGGAACGGGAAAGCAGTCCCAGCCTCATCACAGGCAATGTGGGTTCACCGCCTGTCCCTTGCAGGAAAGAATTTAAAGAGGTGCAACAGTGAAGCAGCATAGATTTATTGAATGTAAGGTGCTTAGGAAGATGTGGGAGGAGAGAAAGGAGGGTGATGTTGGAGAGGGAGCACCAGCTTTTCCAGCGTGAAAGTGAAAAAGCAAAGGAACATAGAGACTAGCAAGTGAGATACATGGGAGAGCACAGCTTGAAGAGCAAAAGAAAACTATGTGTTTGTAAAATCTACATTTGTGTTTTTCTGTAAAAAAAAAAAGAAAAATTAAAATATGCTCTGCAAAATCTAGAATATTATTATTTTTAAATTTCTGGCCTGTCTACAAAACTTTTAAAAGCTGGTTTAATAAAAAAACTATTTAAAAAATAAAATAAAAATAAACCTGAATTATAAAGAAAATAAAGAACTTGAATGCCATTAGCCTAGAATTTTAAAAAATTTTTAGTTTTCTCATTGTGATTTGCAATACAACATTCTAACACCCTATGTCAACATATTTTCGAATGATCTATGACTTAAACGAACATTTATATGGGAAATACGAGGCTAATACAGATGGATTCTATAGCAGTAGTATTAAGAGCAGAGGAGGTTATCACGAGGAGAGTTCTGGTGATAAAAATTCCAGTGTAGGAAATGTTGGGCGATTGTCAGACAGACATCTTGGACAGAATCTCGTAAAAAGAGAGCAGGAGAGAGGTAAAACACAGGAAAAACACCTCAGTGCTCTCAGAAGACCAAGAGAAAGAGGAGGGACATAGACCCAGGTGTTGTAAGCCAGGGCTAGCATGCTGAGCTTCCTCGTGCCCACCTGCGCTGGGGCACTCAGGCCTGTAGCAGATCACTGGGTGGGCCTGTGAAATCCCCCACCACAGTTCCTACTTCAGTTGATTTGGAGTAGGTTGGTTTGAGAATAGGCGTCTTCAATCCGTTCCCAAGTGAGGCTGGTACTTGAGAAGGTTAATACATGACGGTGTGCATTGTGTGTTGGAAAAGGAAATACTGGGCCTTGCTTCTGCACATGGGTGACCCAGGTTTGATCCGTAGCACCATGCAAGATCCCTTGAGCACCCTCAGAGTGATCTGTGTGCAGTCAGGAGTAAGCCCTGAGAACTGCCAAGGAAGGAAGGAGACCAAGAAGGGAGGGAGGCAAGAGAAGAAGAGGGATGAGCTAGGAGATAGGTATACCCATCTTGGTCATATGTGAAAGAACTTAAGTAGAATTCAAAGATACAGAACAGTCACTTGTAGTCAAATCAAAGTTCAGTACTCTGATTTTCTTTGTTCCACCACTGTACAATTAAAGCAGTGAAATTCATGGAATATTCAGAAAATGTAGAACCAAAAATTGAATTTCTATGATGATAGAAAAGTTTAATTCTAAATTAGTTCAAAGTTCTGTCTAAAAGGATTTTCATATTATATGAAAAAGGCTAATTTTTTCTAGGCCAGTTTCTGTTAGCCTAGAAAACAGCTACACAGGAAGGTATATAAACATGAGACTGTTCATTTGAATATTGAAATAACTATATTAAATATAGTAATTTTACATGAAGATAAAAAACTCAACCCCTTCTAGAACATAAAATCACCTCATCAATTCTCTGCTCCGAGAAAAGTTTAACTCCAATATTAGAACCAAGTAGTCGTACATTTTATTCATGAAGATGTGTGGTTGAGAAAAAGGAAAGCCAGGTTAGGGATTCTGGAACATTCAGATCTACTCATTCAATATTTATTTTGACTTCTACTAGTTATTCCTAAAATTAGATACTTGGTAGTTAATTGAAGCAATATTTTCCCTTTCCTTTCCCTAGAGACTTATCCTGCAATAAAATACAGTTTATTGAAAGGCGGACATTTGAAGCAGTACCGTATTTGCAATCTGTGTAAGTTCAAAATATGCTTCATTATTTTTGGATTTTTTTTTTTTTGCTTTTTGGGTAATACCTGGTGATGCACAGGGGTTACTCCTGGCTCATGCACTCAGGAATTACTCCTGGTGGTGCTCAGGGGACCATATGGGATGCTGAGAATCGAACCCGAGTTGGCCACGTGCAAGGCAAACGCCCTACCCGCTGTACTATCACTCCAGCCCCTATTTTTGGAATTTTTGTAACACTTAATTGTCAGCCTCTGTTATTCAATTTAATATTATTAGAACATTTAAAAGTGGCTACTAAAACTGTACAGCAAATCCTTTTTTGCCTGTAAGTAACGATTACAATGGCCCTCAACCAGGATGATTTTGTACTCATATGACCCTTGATAGTGTCTCCAGGTAGTTTTTTTATTGTTTTGATTGCCAGATCTGTAATGATGCTGTTGGTATCTAGTAAGCAGAGGCCTCCAGATACACTGCAGAATATCTACAATGTACTGGACAGCGCCCCCCCCCCCCCCAATTATCCAGCCCCCATGTGGTAGTAGTGCTGAAGTCATGAATCCCTGTCCTAGAGAACTTAATTACTTAAGTATTTGTTAAAATACTTAATACAAAATTTGCTATTTTGCGTCTAATGCCCCCACAGCATCATAAACATCAAAGAATAAACCTTAAGCTTAGGTCGTCCACAGTGATGTTTAGCACATGAAATGTGTTTATGTGAATTAGAAGTTATGCTGGGTGTGACCCAAAAACCAAAAAAAAAAAAAAATTCGTCCTTCTTCTTCCTTCTTCTTTCTTCCTTCTTCCTTCTTCTTCTTTCTTCTGCTGCTGCCACTGCTTTTATCTTTTTTTTTCTTTTTTTTCTTTGGTAGGAATCTTAGTTGCAATTTAATCACCGAACTGAGCTTTGGAACGTTTCAGTCCTGGCATGAAATGCAGTTTTTACACAAAATGTAAGTGAAAAAGCAGATAAATATATATATAATAAAACTGCATAACCTCATCGTACAGTTATTATTAGCTAAGTGGCATAAGGCCAGTGTGAACTCTAACAAGTGTGTCTTGAGATCAGTCCCTTTTTTCAAATGAGGAAACTAAGGAACGAAGAGGCCAAGAGATTTGCATGGCGCATGGCATGCTTTGCTTTTACCTGTTACTGATGATTGGCATGAGCACTAACAGAAAGGCATCCGTTAGCATTGTCTTGTGATTCCCACTGGTGCAGCGCTTTAAATTCCCAGTTTAATTCCAACTTTGGTTCCTGTTCATGTGCAAAGTTCCTAACCACTTAAATGTATGCAACAAAGAGCTGGGAAGAACTAGATATAGCAGTTTTTACTGGGAGTTGGCAGGGAAGGAAAGTTATGGATTCGTTCATAGCTGGTAGCTTCTTTTACATGGTGAAGCAGAAGAGTTCCTGAACGTCTGTCTTAGCATATTTCCCTCCTAAGAATCTCGAACATTATTTTGAAGAAAAAAATGATATATATATAAATTGAATTCACTGTGCTCAGTATAAACCTTTGAGCTAGGGCAAAAGGTGGAAAAAGCTATGGTAAAGACGTTCAATAGTCTTCACACCTGGCAGTGCTGGGGAGGGACCAGGATCACTCCTGGCAAAACTGGCATCACACTGGCCAGCTGACCTAGAAGGAGGCCATGTATGGCACCTGGAGTTCTGTGGTGCGGTGGAATCAAACTCTGGGCCTTATACATGGCAGACATGTGCTCTATCTCTGAAACTATCTCTCTGACCCCAGAAGCGTTTGTGTTACGTCAGACTGAGTGAAAAGTATTCATCAAAAATACGTTGCTGTTGTCTAATTTCATTATACTTACTTTTCTGATTACTCGTCTGTAAGAAGTCTGTGGTTTTATACCCTTTGGGTGAAAAGTTCTCTCTGATTTCTCTGATTTGATGTGACACAAGCAGATCAAAGTTCAGAGACATAAAGGAAATTCTGTACTCAAGCGGAAGATCCTCCTTTGAAAACGAGTCTTCACCTGCTTGTGTTTCAGAAATCCAGTTTTACACAGTTTCCTGCAGATTCGATGAAGGTAGGGCAGGAAGGCAGCTCGGTGATTCTTCATGGGTATAGACCTGAGTTGACTCCCCGGAAGACCAGTTTAGTAAGGAGCAGGCTTAGAGATAATAGTTACCTCATTGTTTTAATGCCGCATTTTTACTAAGCATTTTATTATACCAGGCATCATAAGAACCTCAGTTTCGGTATAGTTTTATAGGAGACGGTGGGGGTTGGGGGCGGGGAAACGCATCATAGTTCATAAAAGTTAAGACATTCAAGAGCATTCACAGAGTGACATTTCTTCTGAGCGTCAGGCCTGTCTATACAGAAGAAGAAAGCAGGGTGTTTGTCACCAAGAACCTTAAATACTGAAGGAAAGAAGACAGATGCTGGTGGGAAAGCATGAGAGCCCCACTGCTAGTCCAGACGGCAGGGTAACAAGATAGCGGGATGACACTGGAGATAACGGTGGGTGGTATACTAAGAAAGACTCATGATGAATGAGGTTGAGGAGACAGCTCAAAGAGCTGGAGTCCACGCTTTGCACTGCCAGGAGTGACCCCCATTCACACCTCAGAATGTGCCCCCCCCAAAATGAGAAGAAAACCCAACAAATTGAAAATGGAGAAGGTGATGATTGATTTGCATTGCAGCACAGCGGTAGGGCGTTTGCCTTGTGCACAGCCAGCCCAGCCGAGCCAGGTTCGATTCCTCCGCCCCTCTCGGAAAGCCCGGCAAGCTACCGAGAGTATCTCGCCCGCACGGCAAAGCCTGGTGAGCTACCCGTGACGTATTCAATATGCCAAACACAGTAACAACAAGTCTCAAAATGGAGACGTTACTGGGCCCGCTCGAGCAAATCCATGAACAACGGGAGGACAGAAATACAGAGATACTGAAATTTTACTCTGAAATGAGAGAAAAAGGTAATGAAAGAATCAGAGATACCTGGAAAGAAATGATCATCCCTGTCATGTGATTTAAATAGAACTAGCTCCTACGACCAATTCGGTCAGCTCAACAGATTGTCACGGAGTCTGGGGAGATAGTGCATGCTTTAGTGCTGGAGCCCGAGGGTCAAGCCCCTGCACGACATGGTTCACCAGCACTGCACCAAGTGACCCCCAAACACCAGTGATGGCACTACCCACCCCAGCACCGAATGTGTTGGGGCCCGAATGCTTTGGGGGGTAGGCTCCTTTCTTTGGGTCCTAATTTTTCTAAATGACCAAGCTCATTCCTTTCAGGTACAATTTGCCTGTGTGATCAAAACTCTGTGACTGGAGCACAATTACCGTGGATGCGTGGCTTGCGTTGCACATGGATGACCTGGGTTTAAGCCTCACCACCCCACAGGGTCTTCCTGAGCTTAGCCAGGAGTAAGGCCTGAGCACCCTGCCATGTGTGGCCCAAAAACAACAAGGAAAAAAAAGCTGTTACATCTCTTTCCAAAGGCCAGGGATGCTAGTCCTTCAGTTACGTCACTTTATGGCCTATCTGACAAATGACTGGGTTGATTAGAAGCTGGGTTGATCATGATTTACTCCCTGCATTAAATATACCTGGGAAGAGCTCGAGATGAGAGCCAGAGAGAGAGCTCAGTGGGCTGAGGACCCGTCAGATGTAATCAACCTAAGCACAAAAGAAAACAGGCCCAGCTGAGGTGAATTGATGAGGAAGCTGAACTCCAAACCTTACTTGCAAGATCTCGGGGAAGATCCCAGCAATTTTTATATTCATAATTTTGCATTTCATTTATTTTGTTAAGCAGGGTTTTAGTAAACTATATAAAATTCAGGGCCCACAAAGCCTTGATTCTTCGTGGATTCCGGGTAGTTATCATTCAGTGAGTTTCTTGAATGAAGCATCTATAATATTAATAAACACTGAGAGGTGAACACATTATCAGTTGAATGAGTAACAGGTCACCTACAGTATGCCATAATAATTTGCAACTACATTAATAAATTTTCCATAAATTGCCAGAATATTTATAAGATGCCATTTTTTAAAAAAAACTTTTATTAGTGAAACACCATGAGGTACAGTTGTAGACTTACAGATTTCTGTGCTTGGGTTTCAGGTATACAATGATCGAGTACCCATCCCTCCACCAGTGCCCATTTTCCACCACCACGGATCCCAGTATCCCTCCCACCCCCTATGTCCCCCATCCCACCCTACCTCTGTGACAGGGCATTCCCCTTTGTTCTCTCTCTCCTTTTGGGTGCTGTGGTTTGCAAAAGAGGCATTGAGTGGCAATCATGTTGGTCTATAGTCCACTTTCAGCATGCATCTCCCATCCTGGGAGGATCCTTCCAAAATCCTTTATTTGGTGCTCCCTTCTCTATCTGAGCTACCTTTTCCCCTAGCATGTGTGGCTGGCCTCCAAGCCTTGGAGTGAACCTCCTGGTACTTACCTCAGCTATTCTTGGGTGTTAGTCTCCTATTTTGCTTGTTACTTTATGTTCCCCCGATGAATGCAGTCTTTCTATGTCTGTCCCTCTCTTTCTGACTCCTTTCACTTAGCATGATACTTTCCATGTAGTACCACTTGTATGTAAATTTCATGACTTCATCTTTTCTAACAGCTGCATAGTACTCCATTGTGTAGATGTACCAAAGTTTCTTTAACCAGTCATCTGTTCTCGGGCACTCAGGTTTTTTCCAGATTCTGGCTATTGTAAAGAGTGCTGCAATAAACAAACAAGTGCAGATGTCACTACGGCTATGCTTGTTTGCCTCTCTGGGATATATTCCTGAGAGTGGTATTGCTGGGTCAAATGGGAGCTAAATTTCTAAATTTTTGAGAATTGACCATTGTTTTTGAAAGGGTCCTAATCATATCTCTTACAGATGAAATCAGGAATGAAGTATGTTATGGAAATCCAACAGTGTTTGCTAATCCTAAATGTTCAGTTTTGTTTTTTTTCCTTTTGCTTATGTTTATGGGCCACACCACCATGCTCAGAGGTTGTTCCTGGCTCTCCTCTCCGCGATTACTCCTGGTGGTGCCTGGGGGACCATATGGGATACCAGGGATCAAACCCAGGTCAGCTGTGTGCAAGGCAAACGTCCTACCTGCTGTACGATTGCTCTGGTCCCAAGTAACTTTTTTTTCTCCTTCTGACTTTCAAGTGTTTCTTCGTTCACCTACACAGGTCTAGACTGCTGGCTCGTTTAAACAATTCTTTTAGTCATTTCGTCGGTTCGAACGATACAAGTTCCATGATGGTAGCAACTGAAGACTTGACAAAGTGCAAAGGCGCTGCCGTACTCAGACAGAGCATGTGGACACTCTGGCTTGTTTGTGGAACTTCAGTATTTTGCCAAGACATAAGAACTAAGATAGAACAGAGGAAACCCAAAACTTGTTCCCACTGACCACGTGACCCCACTGTGGAGATGATCAGTGAGGTGGGGAGCTGCACTGTGAAGGCAGACGGAGCTGTGGTCAGGGCGAAGCCCTCACTCTCTCCCCGCCACAAGGCGTAATGACCTGTCTTTAGATAAAGTGTCCACACAAGAGCTTACTCGAAGGCATTGTTATCATTTGGGGTTATGTTCTGAACTCCTGGCAGCAGCTTCTCCTAGTTCAGAAGCTTCTACCTTAAAGATGAAGGCCGCTCAGGACCTTGGAATGGTTTAGGGGTGACTGGTGGGAAAGTTGAGGAGTTCATCACATTCAGCAACTACTCTAGTCTCCCAAGTGCATCTTTTCCTCCCATCTTTGCAAGGAGACATCTTCTGTTTAAACTTAGTACTGCTGCCAGAGCACTGCCAGGGGCCATTCCCGAGGACCACCCAGATGTGGTCCAGCCACACCCTGTAGTCTCCCAACAACCCCCAACCCCCGCCAACATGTTTAGCTTTCCTCCTCTTTATTGTTGCAAAATGTCTGAGGGTCATACACAGCCCTGGCTGTG